TGCATAAATTTCTTTTTTAATAAAACGAGTGATCAAACAGTACAAACCAAAATTCAAAATACCTTATATTATGAAACGGAGGGAGTAGCTACTAGTGGTGGAAGACACCGAATCAGCGCGTACGGAGCACAGCGATGTCGCACACTGTTTTTTTCGTCGCGTACGCTGCCGTGCCGTTCTCCGATCGATCCATGTGTTTTCTCCGACGCCGGCAAACACGCAAGCGGATACTTCCCCTCGCCGCTAGTGATGTTAAACCTTTACCCGGCTGAGACTTCATGCTCGGCACGGCAGCGCGTGGAGCGGTGAGGTAGCTGCCGATCAGGAACGGGCGAAAACTCCACTAAATTTTAATATTGATAAGTAAATAGATAATGAAATTTTTATAGTAAATACTATTTTTATATTGAAATTTGCTTGGGCTTAAAAAAAATCTTTTTGGCTCCCTGATCATCGTGAGTCATGAACCACCAATGCTACGGGAATTTCAGAAACCTGCAACCGAGCGATGTCCAAGCTATTTTTCGCTGTAGTCATCGTATATAATCCCCTCCATCATGGGAAAACATCACGTCATCAAGCTAAGGCCATGAGAAACCAGGGGTTTCTTATAAGAAATCCTTCTAGAAACAGTATGAAACTCTGCCGATATAAATGGTGTGAAATATCGATACTCAACTACTCAAGTAGTATGTCGGCGATTCAGTTCTCCATTGCATTGTAGCCATAACTATAGGCTATATAGGAGGATCCTCTGGATTTACATGAAGAAAGTCGGAGGTGAACAATTCTGTGGCTTCGTGAGATTTTCAGATATCCAATTCACGACGAATGGACAAGATTAATGCATTACAGTTCCACCGTAAACAGTGATTTACTGCAATACTTACACTGTACCAACCGCAAATTCATACATCACTAACTCATTTTAATGTGCGTCTATGTCTTTTATGCCCTGAAAGTCATAAGATTAGGTTCTATGCACAGCTGATGTCAACTCTGGGAACACCATAGTTCACGCTGTTGACTTGTAGTCTCTCTCCATTCATGCCAATGAGGCAATGACAGCTGAACGGTAGGGCCAGTACGTCTACAGAATAAAGGGTGAACTTTTTGTTCGATGTTTTTATCAGCAATAATAGAAATATAGTGCGCGAAAACTAAAATTGGATGGATAAATATGACAATAATTTATTAAGGTTCATCTCCTCTCAATAAGATGTAATAACAGACTCCTGTTTGACGAATTGATTCTTATATAGGGTTAGGGGGCAGCATTATAGAGAGGATATAAGACAAAACAGTCACCGAGTTCTACTTATATAATACATAGATACGAATGAAAAAACTAATTTTATAACTCGTCTGAAAACCGCGAGACAAATTTATTAAGTCTAGTTAATCCATCATTAGTATATGTGGGTTACTGTAATACTTATGGTTAATGATGGACTAATTAGGCTCAAAAGATTCGTCTCGTGATTTTCATGCTAACTGTACAATTAAGTTTTTTATCTATATTTAATCATCTATGTATATGTCCAAAGATTTAATGTGATGTTTTTAGGTAAATTTTTTTTAGAACTAAACCAGGCCTTATTCCTGTGGGGCTTGGAGGCAGCATACTGGGGGTGTGTCGCGGGCGGCGACACTGTGGCCCGGTAACTTTTGAAAGTTGGAAGTGCTCACTTTGGCCCCCGTTTGGGGTCTTGTTCAGCAATGATCATTGTCAACGGATGAATAGATCGACCACGTGAAGGGCGAGCTGATGATTGGTATCAGTACCACAGTCTATAAACGATAGATTTGTGGATTGGGGAGCAGAATCAACCGGAGCAATCGATAGAAATGTTCTAAATCGAAGTAGAAGCAGGCAGGACGAAAAGGGGGAAGACAATGCACAGAATGCAAAGGATAAACGGGCCGGCCGATGATAAGGAATGATTGCGTGCCTGTGGTACTAAAGGAACATGATTCATGTCCGAAATACTACTACTATGTGAAAGCAGGGTTTCCCAAACCGCCGGGTCAGGGTTACCGCGCCCCGGCGGTGAACACAGGTACCGCACAGTAACCGTAGTAACCGTAGCAAATGAAACCGTGTAAAATTTATCAAAACTAGGAAGGTAGCCCGCGCAGTTGCGCGGACATCTTATTTAAAATATTATTTTTTTTGTTGTTATTATGATTTTTTACATTATGACTTGATCTCTCGGTGAAAGAATTTATGGTTTAAAAAAATAGGTACAGGAAAAAATAGTTATCTCCTAGGTCGACCTACCCGCCCTGCTCTCTCTATCTCCCTTCCTTTTCAGTGGCTATGTTCTATCTACTCCCCCTGTCTCAAATATAATAACCTAGGATTTCTTTCCAGTAGCTATGTCCTATCTACTCCCTCCGTCTCAAATATAATAACCTAGGATTGAATGAGATGTTTCTTATTACAATATATCATGACAGAGAGTCTATCCAGATACATTGTAGTATGAAACATCATATTCAATCTTAGATACTTATATTTTAGGACGGATGGAGAAAGTATTTCCCTTAATTAATGGATTGGGCGTCAGCTATTGGGCTGGTGCCGTAGATCTCTATTGCAAGGATGACTCGTCCAAATTGCGTGTTGCAAAGGACGGGAGGACGAAGCCACCAAAATTGTGTGTTGGAGAGGATTAAAAAGTGTTGCTGGTGAGGTGAAATATATGTATGCAAGCCGGTGTGTGTGTATATATATAAAATCTTGCCTCATGAAACTAATCTTGCTTGCTTTGATATAGATTTGAAATATTGTCTTGTGTACACAATTATGGAACTAATCTTCGTTTATTCATGACAAATCCATGCGCTGCACGCGCCTAATCTTGCATGCCATATGTGATTAGATTTTGCTTTGACATTAATTTCGAATCTTGCCTCCCATACACAATTATATATGGATCTAATCTTCGTTAGTTCACGTTATGGAAATAACCCATGCACTGCACGTGCGGGCCCTAGGGGGTTCTCAACTCTCTTGTTGCGCCACGTGGCGAAGCGTTTTGAGGGAGCCACGTAGCAGCTTGAGATCATATTTAGGAAGTTTAATGAATTTTTAGTATATAGATAGATTTTATATTATTTTTAAATTTAATTAAATTTAAGGTGGTTACCGCGGTTTTTCTTTTACCGTACCGCGCGGTTACCGGTGGTTTTGCAGACCTTGCGTGAAAGTACGTGCAGCGTTTCTTTCATTCTAGAATAAGTAAACCTAATAAAGTACGTTAGAAGGTCTGAATAGATTTGCAATAGTAGTATATGCCACATCTCGACATCTCGTATTAGGTTTGTTGGTTTTGAGACCAAGGAGTAACTCTTTTGCCCCTTCTTCATTTTATCCCCCCTTGTTTGCATCAGAGATAGGGTTTGCAATTTCAGTAATCACTGAAATTTTTGAAATTTCGGTGGTTGCTAAAGTTTAATAATATTCATGCTTTTTGTGTTTTTTGATCGAGCTTATTTGAAATTTTTAACATATTTTGATAAGATTTTATCAAATTCACAGATATTTAAAAAAATCTAAAAATTTTGGGAAAGTTTTGTGCTTGTTGGAATTTCGAACCCCACCGAAATTTCGAATCATGATTAGGGGTAGAGGATGGGAGTGGAGCATAGGGGTGAAAACGGTATGAAAATTTTCCGGATTCCGGACCTATTTTTGAAAACGGAGTCTGTTGGTCGGAATTTTCCGGAAATGGAAACGAATTCGGAAATATTTTCTCGGTAATGGAATCGAAAATGATAAGGACAGTTTCCGTCGGAACTCGGAATTGGTCGGAAAATTTCCGGAAAATTTCTTGGAATTTCCAGAAATTTTGTGACGGAAAAACCATGGATTTTTTTAAGCACTGAATAGTGAATACTTGGTTTTGGCTGTTATTTTTTAAAAACTATTTGTTATGCAAATCTAAAATTACATAAGAATATTTTTTTTCTTGCATCGGGATTTATGAACATCATTACTCTCTTAAATATAGATAATTTATTCCATAGATTGTGTTTTGTGATGTACCGTTGATACTTAATAATTGGATTTATATGATTGTGTTTTATGATGAATTGTTGACCGTTGAGACTTGAGAATTGGATTTATCAGTTTGAGGGGTTTTTTTATTCCAATAAATTTTTGTTACTGTATTCGCGCCGGTTCGTTTTCGCTTCGTTTTCGGTTCCGATAATATTCGATTCCGTTTTCGTATCCGGGGTTTCCGATTCCAAAAAAATAGAAAAACTAAAACAATAAAGATGATTTCCGTCCGTTTCTATACCATTTTCACCCTAGCGGAGCGGGAGGCGTCGACCCCTCCCAGAGGGTGGAGCGGGGCTAGCTGGAGGTCCGGACCGGAGGTGGCCAAGAGAGGTCCTCGGCGGCGACAAAGAACAGGAGTTTCAATTCAAGTCAACATCCTCGATCTCTTCCGTCTCTTTTCTCGTCATTGAAGATAGGGGAACGTTTGCCCGTTGAAACGGAATCTCTTGCCAGTAGTCAGAGGGAGCTGACGACAGTGGCGCGAAGGTCTCAAACATTCGGCCCCGCACACGCCGTCACCGGCGTCGGCGGGCAGATCACCTTGGGTGTCGTACGTCCTGCTTGAGCTCTTGTCCGGGAAGCCTTAGCCTTGCTGCTGTGAGAGGAATCGGAGGGGCAGCTGGTGGTCGACGGCGAGGACACGAGGGTCACGGTGGCGTTCATGTCGATGTCGGGAGGTGGGCTCACGTCGTCGCGCTGCGGTGCGTGGCGCGGGAGGCGGGAGCCCCGCAGGCGGCCGTCGATGGCGGAGGTGTTCCTTCCTCTCGCTCTCGGCGTTGCACAAATCGACGTTCGGTTGGGGAATCGTGGATCTCGGCGTCTCGGCGGCGTGATGAGTGAAGGCCGAATGGAGACCCACTAGGCCGGTGGCCCAATTGGGAGTTCGAAGATTACCACTCTAGTTAGGCCCATGATGGCCTTGCAGCCCAGCAAGAAAGGACCGCTTCTGTACTGTGCCCATACATAGTTACTCTCACTTACATGCTCGCCGTTTCTTCTATGAAAAAGTAATATTAGAGTTACTAAGAGGTATCAATATTTTTTAGTGTAAATATTGATATCTACCAGAGACGTCGAGAGGTATCAAATTTTATAAAAAAAGAATAAAGTACCTTCTGACTGTCAACCACTCCCAATGAAAATGGTAGAGAACATATTTGACACTATGCTTCTTCTTAATATCTCACGTCGAAAAAATTGAGCTTCCTTAATTGCTACCTACCGAGGACCATAGAAGCTGATGCGCTGTAATTCTGAGGATCCCAATCAACCGTGAGGTTGTACACCGCTGAGAGCGTGACGAACACCTCCTCCATGGAAGGCCGCGCCCGTGGCTCCCGCGCCACGCACCGAACGGCCAGCGCGGCCACCGCGGACGCGACACCGATCGGGTAGTGGCCTTGCAGCTGAGGGTCCATGAACGCCCTCAGCTTGAACCATGCGCCATCGCCGTCGACGAGCCCGTCCGCCGCCTGCCACAGCAGCATGTTCTGCCCGTCATCGTCGGTGACAAACGCCGCCGTCTTCCCGGACAAGAGCTCGAGCTGGATGACACCGAAGCTGAACACGTCGAGCTTGGGACTGATCAGGCCGTGCTCCAGGTACTCCGGCGCCAGGTAACCGTGGGTGCCCACGACGTGGTGTGTCATCAGGGCGATGCTGTCGTCTCCGGCTGCGACGGCGACGGCCACGGCGCGCGCGAACCCGAGGCTCGAGACCTTCGCGCGGAGGTTCGCGTCGAGGAGGACGTTGCCGCTGTTGAGATTCTTGTGCACGTAGGGAGGGTTGGTGAAGTGGTGCAGGTAGTTGAGCCCACCCGCGACGTCGAGCGCCACCAGAACGCGCTGCTTCCAGCCGAGGACACGGCGGAGACACGCGGCTGCGCTGCCGGGGTGAAGCCACTCGCTGAGCGCGCCGTTCTCGGCGAACTCGAGCACCAGGTAGGTGTCGTCTCCGTTCGCGCACAGGCCCCGGAGCCGGACGAGGCCGGAGTGGTTGACGCGGCCGAGGACGTCGACCTCACCGCGCACGTCGTCGCCGCCGGCGGCCACGCGTTTCACCGCGAAAGCCTCGCCGTTGATCACCGCGCGGTACACCGACGATCCGGCGGCCACTCTCCGCTCCTCCGCGAACCCCGCCGTCGCCGTCTCGATGTCCGCGTAGCTGTAGGCAGCCAGAGTCTCCACCGCGCCACGCACAGCCGCTACCAGGGGGGTCTCCCTGGCCATGCCTGAGCTGTCGCCGACGGGGCGCCGCCGCCTTCGACGCCATAGCAAGAACACAGCAAGAACGGCAGCCCACGCAGAGACGCCGCATCCGACGCCGATACCCAAGCCAGCCAGCAAGCCATTGCTGCAGGGACTCGACACGTAAAATTTCTGAGATTCCGGCGGAGTCGTGGAAGTAATAGTAGTATTCGCGAGCACCACTCGCGAATGCGGCGGGTGGACGAGCGGGACCAACAACGTGTTGGCGGCAAGCACGTCGCCGTGCGTAGAGTTGAATCTGCGCGCGATGCTGGTCACGTTGTCCCCCTCCTGGACCACGTACGTCAGCAGATTGTTTATTCGTCCCGTAGTCGCAGAGGGGCACGCGCAGCGGAGCGGCACGGCGAGGGGGCCGTTGATCACTGGAGACATAGCTTCGCTTGCAGGGTTATTGGCGATGATGCTTTGGTACGTCGTGAGCCCCTGGAACGTGTTATTGGCGATGAGGAAGAAGGTATCAAGTTCCTGAATGGCGTAGGTGGTGTTGTGTTGGTAGTAGCCGGTGGCCCGGTTGCAGGAGCAGGGGACAGGGACGAGGAGGAGCTGCGTGCCGTCGACGGGGGAGACGGCGAGGGGGACAGAGTTGGCGGCGGCGACGGCGGAGGGCGTCGCGTTGAGGAGGTAGGCGACGGAGAGCGGGGGGTCGGAGCGGAAGGTGAGGTAGGCGGTGCAGGACGTGGTGGCGGTGGTTTCGCTGCAGGTGTAGCCGCCGAGACAGAAGCTGTCGATGCAGTTGATATGCGCGTCGGATGGTCGTTGATACGCGCTGGCGAGCCGGAGAAACACGAGGAAGATCAGGTCGAGTGCGGCGATGCGTCTTGCTCGCGCGCCGGGCGGCATGGCTAAATTGGAGGCTCTGGCTATAGCTGCCTAAGCTCCGGGGATCCAAAATTCAGAAATGATGCTTTGCTTACGGAAGGATCATGAACTCGACGTTCCTTTTTGTAAGGGAAATTGTGTAGCAGGCGTATGTGCCCTTCCTTCTTCCGTTATCTAAAAAATTACGTCTTCCCTTCATTTTCAAATAAGCCAGCATGATAATGTTCATATCTGGTTATTATGCTGGTTTACTGAAGACAGAGGAAGGAGTACTAGTGTACTACTCTGACTTAAAAAAAGACTAAAAAACAATCATAATTTAGATATAATCTCCAAATTTTTAATATTTTTAAGTTAGTATTGGACTTTTTATGTAACGAATGAGGTACCTGCTAAAGAAAAAAAAGCTCATTTGTCTTTCTTGAGTGGCGAGTTGACTGAGCTTGTTAATCAACCATCAAATGATTAGTTTCTTTTGACCGGATGAACAGGTTCGGCAGGTTATTTCCATTTCACCAGGCCGGTGAAGGACAGCCGACGAAAAGAAAAAGGAATGTATTAGTACAGTAACAAGTAGTGGGTCGCGCACGGCATGCCAATTTATATATGCACTAGAGGCAAAATCTTGTTCTTCAGTTGAACATAAAGAAATACTCATTCTGTTCTCAGATGCTTATCACTATGACACTATCTTTTATAAATACAGTATAAACACAGGTGTTTACAACACGTCCGCACTCATTTCTATGATCACCTCCAGAAGACTCGACTGATATATCTTGATATTAACGAAATCATCATGAGTGCATCGCTGTTAACGGGTACATTACCTACCACTAAAATCCATGTGCACATCGCTCTTAACAGACACATCAACTGCCACTGAAAAAATAATTAGCTGTAAATACAAGCACCCGTGTCAAGTCTATGTTTAAGCTCATGTGGGTTGGTTTCACCACAAGAAATCTAACCAATTAAACTATAAATATTATTTTTAGGTAAATTTTGGAAGCTCTTATTTCAACGACAAACTTATAAATATCTAGAAAATAATTTTAGCATATTAATGAAACATGTTGCATATGTTAAACATAATCATTTGATTTTTGTTAAATAAATATAGTAATTTAAAATTTATTTTAATGGTCAAAATTGTAATAGTGTTGATCAATAGTGACAACCAAGTGGAAATAGAAGAAGTAGCAATTTGACTTTTTTGGCAATCGTGTGACTAGATGTTTGTAAGTCAATATATAATGCGAGTAGGTAGTATTGTTAGAGTCAACTCTGATGTGGAACGAGAGTATAGGTGGTGTTCTTTTCTTCTAAAGATAAAGATTAAGTTTTTTACGCAAAATGAGGTGGCATTAATGTATGATTGATTGGATTTTAATTATTAAAAACTTGAAAAATAGATTAATATGATATTTTAGAACAACTTTCATATAAAAAGTTTCGCACGAAACGCACCGTTTAGCACGAAAGTTTTTACACGAAACGCACCGTTTAGCAGTTTGAAAAGCGTGCTACAAAAATCTAAATCTTCATATAAGTCTTGTTGGAGAAAAGAACATGACTATGTGACATCCATACTACCCTTTTATAATTGTCGGTGACATGAGACCGGGAGTATCATGACTTAGAGACTTGAGGCAGACACGATCACCCACGTGGCCTAACCCTCCACGGGGGGGGGGGGGGGGTCGGGCCCGAGGGTGATACGGCCGCCCTTCTCTTTGTCTCCCCGAGGGGTCGGACCGCTCCCGTCTCGGCCCCGAGGGCTGGGGCGCCCCGACCCCTTGTGGATTTTGCGCCGCGTGTATGGGTTAGGTGAGCGCAGCGGCGCTCACCTAACCGCATTTATTGCGGTTTGGACGAGCGCGTCACGCCGCATGTAACGCAGTGCAGCGCGCTCGTTCATCCGGTCTGTGATCAGTCACAGACCGGTCAGATCGTGGGTTAGGTGGCGACAGGCGGTCTGACGCACGCCTCGCCCCATCCCGTCAGGACGAGAGCCTCCAAGCACTCGTCCCTAGCCGGAGCCGGCGTGTTAGCTCCTGGAGATGGCACGTTGGTTCCGGTCAGATATATGCCAGGCTTCATCCTAACCATTACAGGCAAGATATTGTATGAAGAAGGGCGAACATGCAGATTGTTAAACTAACACGTGGTGGACAAGAATGACCGATTTGTGACCGGTCTGACAATGGTCATGTCGTCAGCAGACAGCCATGTTCCCACGTCGCGCCTGCTTCCGGCGGAAGTGGAGGTAGGTATGGGCCGTCCCATCAGAAGGTCATTCGGACGGCAGCCATACAAATCTCCGTCCATTAATGAAGAGAAGTCAAGTTGGAGGGAAGAGAGGATGAGTCCCCACACAAAAGAAAGAGAGGGAGAGATGGTGCATGTGGTATCCCCTTGAGATATAAAAGGAGGACCTTGCCCACTTAGAGAGAGAAAAAAAAGAGAAAACGATCCCAGAACGATCGGGGGCTGGCTCGCACTTTGTAGCTTCTTCATACACAGATCCACCAAAACACAGGAGTAGGGTATTATGCTTCTCAGCGGCCCGAACCTGTATACATCGCCCGTGTCTTGTGTGTTTCCACTCTCGCGAACTTCCCACAGACTAGGAGCTTAGAATCTCACCCAGGGCCCCCGGCCGAACCGGCAAAGGGGGGCCTGCGCGGTCTCCCGGTGAGGAGCCCCAAGCTCCGTCATCTGGCGCGCCAGGTAGGGGCCTCTGCGAGTGATCTTCTGAGCTCTCGCATTCTTTCGTGTGCGCCAAGCTTTTCCTGTTCAGCCCAATGGCCGAACAAGCAAAGGCGCGCAACCTCTCTCCGAGTGTTAGCGGTGACGACGGGGAGCCGAACCCACGCCGTCGAGCTCGTACTCCACCGCCCCCTCCACGCCAAAGTCCTAGGAGGGAGGAGGTGCTCGAGAGGGTCGAAGGATCCGCGACTTCGACATCCACGGGTGATGGAGAAGGGCGCCGAGATGGGGAGCGTCGCCTCCTCGTCTACGGCGACGGCAGCACGCCACAGGGCGCGCTCCAAGCTGCGGGCGCGCTCCTACGTCACCCGCCCGTTGTCCCTGACCTGGAGTCTCCAGCCCAACGTTGGCTGGACGACGTGGCCAACTTGGTCATGACGGCACGGCAGCGCCTAGGTGCTGGTGGGCGGTCCTCCGCCACCAAGACCTCTGGCGCTGCTACCACCGGCTCCGTGTCGTCAAGGCGGAGGGCGCGGCGAGCGGCGGCTGTTGCTCGCCATTCGGCCGCCACTCCTTCGTCAGCGCCTCCGACTCAGGAAGATCTGCGTGGGGGGCCGGATGCCCGCATCGATATCGAGCGCCGGCGTAATGGTCGGCGTGCTCCCCACGCAACGGAGGGCGCCTCCTCGTCCGGAGTGTCACCTCAACACGGACGCGGGGATCAGCCCTCCGTGCCCCCGGTTGGTGGTGTCGGCTGTAGAGCCTTTGTGGCGAGCCTTCGGAACGTCCGTTGGCCCCCAAGGTTCCGGCCCACCATCGCCGAAAAATATGATGGGAGCGTCAACCCCGCCGAGTTTCTCCAGGTCTACACGACCGGGATCGAAGCCGCCGGGGGTGATGACAGGGTCATGGCGAATTTCTTTCCCATGGCCCTGAAGGGACAGGCACGGGGTTGGCTAATGAACTTGCCACCCGCGTCGGTCCACTCCTGGGAGGATTTGTGCCAACAGTTCACCATGAACTTTCAAGGCACATATCCGCGCTCAGGTGAAGAAGCGGACCTGCACGCAGTACAGCGAAGAGATGGTGAGTCACTTCGCTCGTACATTCAGCGGTTCTGTCAAGTCCGCAACACCATACCATGCATCCCTGCACACGCGGTGATCTACGCGTTCAGGGGGGGTGTGCGGCACAACCGCATGCTCGAAAAGATCGCCTCCAAAGAGCCCCAGACTACCGCGGAGCTTTTTCAGCTCGCGGACTGAGTGGCTCGTAAGGAGGAGGCATGGACCTGGAACCCCTCCGGTTCCGGTGTGGCAGCTTCGGCCGCCCCCGGATCCGCGGCTCAGACAGGGCGGCGTGACAGGAGGAGGAAGAAGAGGTCAGCCCATTCCGACGACGAGGGTCATGTCCTCGCCGTTGAGGGCGCTTCGCGGGCCACCCGAAAGGGGAGGCCTGCGAGCGACAAAAAGAAGGAGGCCGGCGCTCCCAGTAGGGAGCGCCCAACCGGCAAGTGGTGCATCGTCCACAACACCTCCCTTCACGACCTCGCGGACTGCCGCGCAGTTAAAAGTTTGGCTGAGCGGACGAGGAAGTGGGAGGAGGAGAGGAGGCAGGAGCGCCGAGAGGGCAAGTCCCCGGCGGTTCCTTCCGGCAATCGGCGAGGTGAGGCCAAGCAGAAGGCCCCCGCCGAGGACATCGATGACGGCGATGATGACCTAGGTTTCCAAGAGCCTGGGGCCACCATTGCCACTGTCGATGGGGGAGCGTGTGCTCACGTTTCTCGCCGGAGCCTCAAGGCCATGAAGCGAGAGCTTCTGGCCGCGGCCCCTACTCATGAGGCGACGCGCCGGGCGCGGTGGTCGGAGGTTGCCCTCACCTTCGACCAGACCGACCACCCACCGTGTGTTGCCCGGGGAGGACAGATCGCAATGGTGGTTTCCCCCACTGTTTGCAACGTGAAGCTGGGGCGTGTCCTCATTGATGGGGGAGCAGCCCTCAACATCCTTTCCCCCGCTGCCTTTGACGCTATCAAGGCCCCGGGGATGGTGCTCCGGCCGTCCCAGCCGATTATCGGTGTGACGCCGGGTCACACTTGGCCGCTAGGTCATATCGACCTCCCGGTCACCTTCGGTGGATCCGCCAACTTCCGCACGGAGCGGGTGAACTTTGATGTGGCGGACCTCAGTCTGCCCTACAACGCGGTCCTAGGGAGGCCCGCGTTGGTGAAGTTCATGGCGGCAGTCCACTACGCCTACCTCCAGATGAAGATGCCGGGCCCCGGTGGCCCCATCTCTGTCCATGGCGACCTCAAAGTCGCGCTTGCTTGTATGGAGCAGCGCGCGGACCACCTCACCGCCGCGTCCAAGCCCGAGGGAGGCGACGAGAGGCTTGGCACCTCCGCCCCTGCCGCCCCGAGGCAGCGGATAGTCACATGCGACGAGG